AAGATGGAGCATCACCACATTACTCTAGACAAGTATGAAACTATATGGATACTACTTTTCTCAGTCGTTGAACTGGCCGTCGAGGTCTTACAGAATGACCAGCCCGCTCGCCAGATTTGACACCTTTGGACTTTTCTATGGGGCTATTTGAAGCAAAAGGTGTATGAAACTGAAACTAGTTATGCAAAATCAAATAGAAATCCTCTTGTGGCAAGGAATATGTATGTTGAGCTAGACCTACCCGAATCTTCGTATAAGGAACATCCAAAAAATGTTCAGACGATTAGAAAGAAATTTGGGGGACTATGGTGCATTTGACAGAAATAAAACAAGAAAATGTGTGGTTACTAGAAGTGTGCGGAATTAAATTGATGTTATGGGTAAACAAATATTACCACATAAAAATTTACATAGTGAAAACATCTTTTTTTTAAATTAGGATTGTCCAGTTACAAAAATTATGCTAATCAAGATTGTCCACGAAATGTAAATTTCTGTAAACTTCACCAGAACTATTATGAAAAAGAACAAATATAAATGCTACAGGATACGCAAAGTTCGTCACCTCAATGAGAGGGATTACGGAAGGAGAGTACGATTTGCGAAGTGGTTGAGACGTAGAAATAGGGAAGTTGGAAATATTTGTGAAAAAATAATATGGACGGACGAATCACAATTCACCAACAATTGTTGGTTTAACAGAAATATCCATTATATGTAGCAATAGTAAGGAAACATTCAGATGCCCAAGAAAATGGATTGGAAACAATGAACCAATTAACTGGCCAGCTCGATCCCCACATCTTACTCCCTTTTTTTGTCAGGGGATACATGAACGATGAAGTTTTTTCAACATCAAATACAAATATCTACCATCTCAAACAAAAAATAAGAGATGCATGTGTTAGTATTACACCTATTATGATAGAAAATTGCCACAGAAATTGTCTGGACCGTAGAGTATCAAATTCTCTATCAATCATTACATACCACGACACAGTGAATGAATATTTATCAAGATATANGACCGTAGAGTATCAAATTCTCTATCAATCATTACTGACCACGACACAGTAAATGAATATTTATTAAGATATAGCTACAAAAACACATAATATTAAAACGGTAAAAACTTTCGAAACAATCTAATAATCCAGAAAGGTATAGATAAGTATTTCAAACTCTAAATGTTCGTAGAAAAAACCATACTTAAAATGTAGATACACGAATTCAACTTTTTTTATATTGTTTGTTAAATTATAGTGTGTAATGTTCTCAACTCATTTCCGGTCCTTGATGACAACATGAACAAGCAAAACGATTAAATATCGTTTGCTAATAACTTCCACACCGATTACTCCGATTCAAACAATGGACAACAAACGGAAATGGAATTGATTCAATGGATGATAATCCCTTCTGTAGTGATTCGTGATGATCGAGTTGAATTACTGGTTTTATTCGATTCGCTGTACAATGGAAACACTGGTGATTGCCTCGTTATTACTGTTCTCAGTTCTCCTAATTGAAAATACTTGTCTTGAGAAAGTTCCAAATTATCTACAGGTGAGAAAAACGGCACAATATGTATTTCAACGAGTCTCAGTTTGTCAGAATGACGGCATGATAATAATAAATTAAATCATCAGTAGTATATGCTTCAAGTTCAGTGAAGATTATGTCTCAAGTGAGTATATTAAATTTGGATTCCATCAGAACACAAATCTATTGAAAAGCCTTGTTTCGATTGAATCTGGAAATAGATATGATAGTTGCTACAGATATCACAATTCTGCTAGGAAGTGTGAAGAGGGTTGATAGAAAAGTGAGGACCCTCCACCCCATTTACTAACAAGGATAATAGCAGAAATATTGGGAAAACACAAAAAGACTCACTGACGATTCAACAAGAAGTCTCACAGATCAATCGATCACCCTCCAGAACTAACATTTGTTGTACACCATCAATGAAGTTTATAAATCTTTTGATATGAAAAATGTGGAAATCTTTCAAAGAGAGGTGAGATAAAGCAATCAATTTCAAAAATTAACTCTACACAAAGATGGATTACTAGTAGAAAGGTACCACGTCAACAATCTCTAAAATATGTTTTTTCGTTAACCAGCTGTCGCACCCCTACGAACGACAGAAGAAGTTCAAGGTAACAATTTCGAGCATCTTCTGAACTGACATCAAGCTTATTACCTCATGTTATGTAGTTAAATGTCAATGTATTTAGGCAATTATTGAAATTTCCGCTATTTTGTAGTAGTTGAAGATATTAACATTATATTATAGGTTTCTGAAACATTTGTCAGGAGCGTTAAAAAGATTAATTAATTTTTTCCCCAGATGACGCCCAGTCGCCTTCTTGAAAGATTCATCTGTCAATTTCACTCCAAAATAAAGTATTCATGTATTAATTTCATTATCCTAACATTCAATTTTTTGAGTTGACCTGTTCAAAAAATAAAAGGGGGGGCAATTAAAGAAATGCACTGTATATCGTTCTGGATGGAATCAAGCGTGCCAAATCATTTGTTCCCAGCTGGTTACCATGAAACTATGAATGGAAAAGAGATGTTCCAGGTAATCAATGGTGGTTGTGATACTTGGATGTCCAATCAGGCATAAAGTTCTTCCCTGTACATAATCTCGCAGTCTCAGGATATGCGAGTTCTGATTTGATCTAAATAAAGTATTCCAGTTCCAGTTCAAAATGTTTCCAAGTTTCTTCGAAGCTCTTTTTGTAATAACGTGATTGTGCCTAGATATATCAACCTAAAATTACTCGATGTGGCCATTAGAATATTGCTATATTAACATGTCCTGTTTCATCATATACCCATTCTTCGACAAAACATAAAGATATGAAACCTCTTATTGTACCGAAGATGTGAATTGACAAAGGAGGGTAAATGGAAAAAGAAGGAATCAAAATCCGGAATGGAGATCGTGGCCACATTGATTTTCATAAAAATCATTTGTTTGAAGAAATTGGCACGCCCAATTGTTATTACAATTCTCCTTCTGATGTTGCGGAAAACGATTCGACAGTTACTGCTATACTTATTAGCTACTTCAGTTATAATGATATTTCGAGAAGGACCTGATGACTGTCAAATATGATGGTTCCTGAATGAATTCTGCAATGTGATGTCCTTTGTTCTATTCTGTTCCTACCCTTCAAATCGGCACAGTTACAAAAGCAATTATATAACACCTGAGCCACTGCGAAACTACTCTCACCAAGTCACACTAGGTGAGACCAATACCTATCATTTACCAACTCCACTGATGGTAAAATTGTAGCCCCGATACTATTCGTAAGAGCTAGTTTTCTGTAGATATATACTTCCCAGTTGTTTGTCTTCTTCACCAGTATCCATGGAAACAGCAATTAGTCATACACCTCCGTAGTTTCCTATTATGATCATCATTCAATCAGATATAGGGAACCTCTTGCAAGTTTTTTAACGATTCTAAGCTTGGAACACTGTTCCGAACTAGAAAACTGTATACACTTCAGCAACTTTTGATGCATTATTAAGCTCAGATCAGACCTTCTTTTGAGTATTGTTCTCACGTATGAAACTCCGCCCTTAAGCATACTCTGAAGCCGCTGGATTCCACCCAGAAAAGATCCATTCGCCTGATTGGAGACGCGAACATAACTTGCAACCTTGATAGTCTGGAACATCGAAGAAAGGTTGGAGATTGTTTTCTCTTCTATAGATACTTCCACGGGAGGTGTTCAAGTGACTTGGCACTGGATCCCTGGGTGATGCTGGGTCAGCCAACTCGGGTTCATAACTTCTCCATCCCTAAGATGAAAACGAGAGGGATACTGGTTTGTTTTCGGTATTTTCGGCATGGACGGGTCATTTCTTTTCCATGGAAGTGGTCCTTTTCTTATGAAATTTCCAGATTGCGAAAGCAGCGACACCAACCATCAAGAGGGTTACAAGGATGCTTTGAGAACTTGGTACTGCAGGGTGAATTCTTTTGTGTCCAGGATTTCAAGGAACTTGGCATCGTCTTGAAGTTCATGAATTTTCTTCAGTTCTCTAGATTTTAGGTGAATTTTTCTGGGTTCCAACTCTTCAGAGTCAATCTTGTTTATTTTGATTTCTAGAATGGTTAGAGAATGGCCTCTCACAATTTCTTTTCTGTTCCATAACTTGCAATCTCCGATTGTGATTCCGCAGTTGAATGGTACTTCAACAAGGCTAGGTTCTCTTATGAGTCTGAATTCATCACTTTGGCAGGTTTCCAGGTTTTTCAGCTGGGATTAGTAACACGTGTTGCCTGGAGATAGCTTCTATGATGGGGTTGGCTACGTAGACTTCGGCGGTGCGGCAGTTTGAATTGTCAGTTACTTTGCTAAGGGCTGCTATACAATCGATTGTTTGTGGATCCCGTTGATCGTGGCAAATATGTCTGTTCTCGATTACAGGGCACATCTCATTCTCGTACTGTTGTTCTTTTTCTCCAAGTAGTAGGAAAGGGTGACATCGTATTTTAATCCTCCAGTGATTCTGCTTTGTTTGAAACGTCTGATTCCTCCTTAGACCCCTCAGGTTAACTCAATTTCTTCTTCGTGCACAGGAACGGAGAAAGTCACAAAAAGTCTCGATAAGTGCCGAAGAGTAAAAACCCACGTTTTTCTAGTCCGTAATCGGTTTCAATGCCGTCTATTTCTGACGAAAAAACTGCACTCACCCTACCGTATGCGATATACGAAAATACTTCATTATGGACGAATATAACATCAACAGTTCAAGCAAGCCAACAAAAATGCCTGATTATTAAATTAACAGTTATTTATAAGGTTTATTTCGTCGACTTAGCATGTAATCGGATGTAACTCTATCCCTGGGTGATGCTTGGTCATCGAACATCAAACTCATATAACTCAGGTGTTTTGGTTCAAAATCATTGACAGTCATTTCTTCACTGTTCAATCTACAATGAACTCAATACGGAATAAGCTTTTTAACATTGAACATTATAACACAAATATATCATTTTAGGATACTTCACTTCAAGTGACTTTGCCGAATGGAGTTGTTCAAGGTAAAATGAAATTGACAAGATATCAGAAACTACATTACCTATCATTTCACGGTATACCATATGCTTTGCCTCCAGTAGGAAACCTCCGTTTCAGGGTGAGTATCAATTTTTTTACATAGTTAGTGTTATGAATATACAATGTTTGTGGAAACACTGAAGTCAACAAAATAATCATGATTATTTTTGTCTATTCAATAGTAACGAAAAGAGTTAATATAGTTGCAATATTGAATGTCTTTTTAAATCAGTAATAAGCATTATTTATACGTTACCTGTCGAGACTTTTTGATAAACAAAGTTACAGAATGTTGATATTGAAATCCAAGATCTGAATGAATGTCTTATTAGGTCTGATATAGTGATTTATTTGCCGTTATTAGCTACAACTGAAAATTGGCTCGTTTTTGGAGTTGTATCTAAGATAAGAAGAGCTTTCTAGTGAATGAACTAGAAGATCAATGTCATGATATATCTATGTTCTCTTTGACAGTGACGGCTTGTGCATTGGAGAACAGGGGAGGCTACAGTCATAAAGACTATACATACACAGAAAAGCCCGCCGGAGGTGCGAATATTTTTTGGGGTACCGCACCCATTTAAAGCAAAATACGTAATATTTGTATAAATGCAAACAAAAATTGGGTAATGCCGAAAATTATACGCATAAAACTGACCATTAAAAAAATAAAAACAAGGAAAAAGGGTTGTCTTTGAGTTATTTAATATAAAGGAAATCTTCTTAGTCAATAAATAATACTTTTCTTTTCTAATATAACAGTTTTCTTAAAAATTGCTAAAAACGATTGAAAGTTGTGATGTACAGGTAATATCAGTAGTTTCATCAATTTCCCAAGCAAAAAAAGAAACACTTTCAATCTCCTTGCTTATATTTTCCTTGATAATATATGCTACATTGTCTATAGGCTAATTTTGGATGATTTTTGAGGTGCCCGAAAAAACGCTACCGTTTAAAAAAGTGCCAAATTGTGAATCATATTTGCCCCCATAACATTAAAATTTCCTTGCAATTGCCGCGATTAATCAAATCTTCGGTTTCATCGTGTCCGCGAAAAGCTAATTCTTGGGAACCCAAATAAATCGTAATATCGATGAGTCTTTTTAAATTCGACCAATTTTTCCTAACCTATATTTTGTTTGCTGAACAATTTTAATTTACAAGACGAAAATATATGCTCCTTAGATTTAAAATGTCTTTCTGTAGAACGTGGTAAATTTTTTAAATTAGAGTATCCTATTTTAGACCACGTGTGGTGTTCAGTTTGTACGGAAAATAAAACACAGGGTCAACAAAAAAGTTTTTCTCGTTCAATGAAGCCGGTTAACCAATCACATTTATCATACCAACTAATATTAAATCCTCGATTTTGTCGATTATCTGACGCTTTAATTGAAATCAAATTTGGTTGAGGCCTTTCCAGAGGTGTAATGTAAAATTTATTATCATAAAATAAAGATTTAAAATTAATTGTCAGCAACCAATGGACTATATTGTCAGATTTTTTAATTTCTTCCAACTTATCTATAATAAATGAAAAAAAAACTTACCGAAAAGTGAAAACCTGAAAACACATTACCAAAAAGCACTGGTATCAAGAAACAATAAAACGATTTACCAAAATATTTTTCAGTTCCGGTCCGTCACGGCATCCCGTCTGAATAATTGAATAAAAAACAAACGCAGTCATACACTAACGACTAACGGAGACCAACTGGAGGCTAGCCGCCTCTAACGCTAAAATTTCTGCAACTAAAATTACAAATCGGGACGTATGTCGCTGGTTGGATTGGTCTCGTGGAGCCTGTATTTTTTAAAGCGGTCGGAGGCTTGGCTCCCTTGTAACGTATGTCATTTATTATTTCGGGTTGATGGTTTATTCTTTATTCGTTCATGGGCGGTGCGTTTGAGTTTTGTTGATGCAGGGCACAGTGTGGTACGTACTACGTAGTGAGTGATAGTGTTTACTTTTCGGGCATATCATGTATTTATATTGAAAATTATTGGTAAAGTAATGATACCCAAGCATTTAAAAAAAAATAATCATAATTGTTTGTTAATATCTTTTAATTTATTGCGATGAATAGCCTCGAATTTTATGGGGAGGCTAAGCCTCCCTTGCCTCCTCTGACGAGCCGCCGCTGCTCTTTGATCAGATTATGAGATATGTAGGTAGTAAACAAAATGTGTGTTCTCTGAATGCATGTTTCTCTACTGCTGATTTATTGAAGAGCCTTGGGCAGGTAATTGACCTTCTTTCCAATGTAGACCGATCCATAGCTACAAAAGATGCGGAATACCCTCTGAGGGGTCCTTATTAGACCTTAGACTCGTTATGATGGTTTCCAATAGCCAATTATCAATTTTATGATCTATTTTCCCAGGAATCTTCCAATCTGATTCGTAAAATTATCAGCATTCTCAAACTCTCTTACCTCGGCATCCCTATACTCATTCACATTGAGGGTATTCATTAGACGGTTCAGTTCGTCCGAGAAACACTCAATTTGACACATGTTGAGTTGTGGTTTTTATATATTGTTACAACTTTGGGTTGGGGTTTGCTCAGGGGTAGCCTTATGATGGGAATACCATGATGAAAACACCAGAATACTTAAATACTAGGTTTATTGCCTAGGAGTTATACATGGGAGTCCTTCTCCAATCAGATCTCATTAACAACTGTCTTATTACAATTTATGATATAAATCATCAAATATAATCCCGCCACGATATTCATTAGTCACATGTCTCCTGAAGTCTTCCTGTCCCGCATGTTTCACTTGAAATTTCAACAATTATATTCTAGACCAATTGTTCCTAAACTATGGGTCGCGACCCACTAGTGAATCGCGGGAGCAATTTGGATGGGTCTCGGAAACAGATTAAAAACACTTAGTACTCTTGAATTGTTTTTCCCGTTTTGAATAAAAGCTAGCGGAGAGTATCCAGTTCTTTTTAACATAACCTTGAAAGAGCGGATGGGGTTTTAAACCACATAATTGTGTGAAAAGGTATTCTTCACTTTGGTATATTTAAAAAATGAAGTCTAATTTTTTAATTTTTTGTATTTGTTAAGTTTTCAATTTCTTAATTAAAAGTTTTTTTTCCGTACTGTATTTTATCTTCAATTATACAGCGTGACTCACGGTCGATGGTAGGTTAGACGTTTCTAGAAAACGCAAAGCATGATTTTTCTGAAAATTTCACCTCTCACATTTCCTTACCTGACACAAAAAAGTTTGAGAAACGCTGTTCTACACCACTAAGTACGCTTTCGCTACTTTTACGTACCCGATTTCTATAATATTTCCCCAACATTGTAAATGCATCAAAAACAAACACGTTTGATGAATTTAGGCAACATCTGAATGGCACCTAGGCTATTTTATTGTTGATCAAGTCTGGTTGGTTTCTTGGCAGTAATAGTTTCACTAGTTTCCAATGAAATACTCTTAGAGATGGCATATACCGGGTGGCGAAAATTTAATTGCACGCTATTGCTATCTCGGTCACGATAGAAAATACGATGTTACCTTCATTATACCAGATATGAAAAAATTGTTCGAATGTTCGTGATTGACCTGCATGAAGGCTATTTTTCTTGGAAAATCTGATGCCTCTTTGGTCCAGTCATCTTAGTAAGTTCACCTCGGAATTGGTCCAGTCATCTTAGTAAGTTCACCTCGGAATTGGTCCAGTCATCTTAGTAAGTACACCTCGGAATTTGTGGAACCTAGCTATATACTGGTATGAACTTGTATTTTGAAATCTTTAAAGGTTTCTCGAAACCTACATATCAAAATCTGAGGAAAATGGTCGATATGACAGCAAAAAAATTGAACAGTTCGAAAAATTATTTTCTGTTATAGCAATGGACCGAAAGAATCTTTTAGACTCACCCTGAATAAAACTCTTGACGACCATATCAAATCTGCCCCTAGCTTACATTCCTTTGAAGCTAAGCTGAAAAAACCTCTTCTGCAGAAATGAACTCCTCAAGAATTGTTAAAAAACAGCTGCTTTTAAGTATAACGGTGCTAAAAATTGTAATTTTTAGCACAATTTTTAGCACAAGTATGCAACAAAAATACTTTTCTGTTCACAAGTACTATTCTTCTGTTTACTAATTCTCCTTTTGTCTCTGATAGTATAGTTTTAATTTTAATGTTAGGTTGATTGGTGTCTGTCTTTGTTAAACACATGTGTGTTACCTGAGTTAGTATGTTACAATGTAAGCTCCTGTATTGTAATTGAACATTTCTTTGACTAATAAATTGATTAATTGATTGATTGATTGAAACATCAAATCTTCTAGCGTTTGCGAGACATCAATTGAGTGCAATTGAAATTTCGCGACCCGCTAAACTCTATTTAACTGTTTTTGATTCATAAATTATAATTTTCATCAATGAATCAAATATAATAAGTGATCTTATTATTACTTCCATTTACCCCAAATATCAGTCGAACAGTTATTTGGAAAAATGTTCACTATTTGGAAACTAGACAACGTGGTCGTTCATTCTCCTGATAGTCTTATTCTTTTCGCAGTCACCCGTTCCATCGAGTAATTGGAGCGGAGTGTTGGATGCATCTTCATCGGATATTACGTCCTGTATCCAGATAACCCCCACATTGTTCAATAAGTTCGTAGAATCCGAAGACTGTTTGTACGTTAACGTTTTCACTCCAGTGAAAGTAAGTTATATTTCTCCTCTTCTGATCTTTACAACATCATACTAGAAACATTTCTCATATAGTCTGTACGCAAGGAGAGTCCCCCCCTTCCAGTTATGGTATGGATATATGGAGGTGGTTTTCTAATTGGGGTAGCCGATTCTTCGTACTTTGGTCCCGATAATCTATTGGAAGAAGGTGTTATTGTTGTACAAGTTTCCTACCGATTGGGATCTTTCGGTAAAACATTCCAGAAGTAATCTATAAGAAATTCAACCCACCCAGTTTTTAGGTTTCTTGAGTACCGAAGATATGGCCTCTCCTGGAAATTACGGATTGAAGGACCAACATCTTGCCCTACGTTGGGTGAAAAATAATATTGGTTATTTCGGTGGCGACCCAGAGAGAACAACAATATTTGGTGAGAGTGCTGGAGGTGTCTCAGTACAGTATCAGATGATGTACATGAAAAACGAAGGTCTAATTCAAGGTTATTAAAACTTATTCGACACATTTTTCTGATAATCAACGCAACTTTCCATCCAGGAGCAATTTCGGAAAGTGGGAGTGCCTTATGTTCCTGGGGATATCAGAGGTATCCTAAAAAAATTGCACAAGATTTAGGAATGGCAGCTGGAGTCAATACAACTGATTCTACTGTATTGATAGATTATTTGAGGAACCTACCAACCGGCGAACTGAAAGGCGCAACAATCAAAGTTTCTGTAACGGTAAGAAAAATAAATTTAAGGACATAACTCAGTGAGGATTTCATACTTTGATGGTTGTGACATTCTTTTTTTTTCATTCACGATAATGATTGCTGCAACTCTTCACAATATAGAATTCATATCCAAAACGCATTTTGCGTTTGGAAATTAAATCTAGTAGTAGTAGTTTGCTCAGTTCCACTGGTGATAGTGCCTTGACCAACTGAAGAAATTACTGTTGTAGACTACAAGGATTAATTTGAGGAGAAAGATTCTCATTGATATTCCAATGCATAATAAAGAGATATTTAAATCGTCCTTCTCTCATCATATTACTTTAACTGCCTCTTTACGGGATATTCCCAAATCTGCATTGCCTTCGAATTCCTGGTGTAAACCCCGAAGAAGGAATGGGTCAATTGAGGCTGAGCCTATGGCGACAAGCGCTTACTGAGCAACCTCTGTTGCGCAGTAAGCGCGTTTAATGAATAATAATAAGCAATTTTTTCGAGTAAATTCTCCTGAAACTTCGCTTTCCACTCGTGATACACTTCTGAAGACATGTGTCATGGTCAGCTGATATATAAAATTAAACGTATTCATTCAGAGAAATAGATTATCCTCCGATGACATTTATTTTCAGAGATATGATATTTGAGTAACCACTTTAACAGAAACACTACGAAATACAAACAAAACAGAACACAGAGTCAGATGCTACAAATGCAATACGGATTTATACAGATGGCTCAAAAACCAAAGAAGGCTCAGGATGTGGAGTGTACTCCAGATCACTAAGCCTAAGGATTAAGTGGGGAATGGGAACAAATACCAGAGTGGTCCAAACAGAACTGGCTGGTATCTCAATCGCCACAAACGGAATTACCAGGAAAGGAATTTCTGGCAAAAACATAACAATCTGCCTTGAACATACAACGTGTTACCTCAGGGCTAATACTAGAGTGCCACCATAATTTAGCCAAAGCCTCGGTAGATAATAACATTATCCTGAGGTGGATTAAAAACCACGACAGAAGTAAAGGTGATCGCATTTCCGACTCTTTAGCCAAGGAAGCGACTGGAGTAAGAATTTTAGGACCCAGTGGCACCTACGTCCTGATGACTTCAACAATTGCGGAACTAGTCAAATGTTACACCCATGCTCAATCTTTAAAGAGATGGGATAAAATCAAAGGATGTAATCTTGCCAGGATCACCTTGGGCGACCCTGGGAAGCTGGCGCCGAAGAAATATCTGGCGATGACCAGGAAAAATTTACGCTTAACAGTAGGATTTCTAACTGACCACTGTCAGCTAAGGAAACATTTTTTTATTTATTTGTATCCAAACAGACCTACTGGTCTAATTACATGGATAAATATACAAACATATAATATTACAAATAATTTATATCAATTTACAAGCCATAAAAATGAAACATAAAGATAAAAGTAGAAATAAAAGAGTGAAAATAAAAGTGAAAGCAAACTTAACACTATGATTTTTACAATGTTAGTTTCAATTTAACAAATAAGAAAATTTATTTGGGTAGTAATTATAATCAGTTAGCATTATGATGATGAATCATTAATTTGTTTCATTATGTTTCTAAACATATTTTGAGTCATTGACCAATCCAGATCAATGAGTGTGTTATAATAATTTGCTAGTCGACACATGATTGCAAGAGGAGTTCTAGTAGTTCTATGTAAAACAGGGATATTAAATGTAACAGAAGAGCGCATTCTCCTTGGAGGCACATTAAATCGCAGTATAGAAAGTAACGTTGGTGAATTAGTTTTATTATTAATCATTTTAAACAAAAACATCAAAATGTTAGGCACCCTTCGATCTTCCAAAGATAGAATTTTGAATTCATGTCTAAGTTGGGTAGTTCTAACTACCTTATGATCGGGATATACATGATGCTTTTTATAATATAAGTATCTTAAAAATTTGTTTTAAATTTTTAATAGCAAGAATAATGTGGTTTGGTATTCTCCATGGCAAATTATTGCACCAAATTCTAATTTGGGCCTTACTAAACCATAATACAAAATTTTAAGGGAATGTACATTGGTGAAATTGAAAACATCTCCACAATATGGAGCTAGTGTACACACCTCTATGCAGGATGTGTCAACACGAAGATAAAACTGTCGGGCATGTCCTATTGATAGGGAAGCCCAAGCGGGGATTTCGGGATTTACTAAAGCGCGGCAGATTAACATACAGGGTGATACCTTGTACCCGGTTGAGTACCTCCACCAAATATGAGCCCCATATATGAAACCGTCTGTGAGGGATAAAGGATCAGATTAGTAAAAAAATTGATCATCAGAAATTCTCGAGTGCGTCAGATTGAGGTAGGGTGAGTTAGTTATCTGCTAAAAAGTGTATATTCCAGTAATCTGACAATTTGAGAGTAGCGTAAAGAAAGGAGAGAGCAGCAAAGTTGTAAAAAAATAACGTCATTTCGAGATTCTCGAGCGTAGCTAATTTTTTTTTATTTTGAAGGAAATAATTCAAGGATAACGAAAAATATATAATCTGACGATTTCCACAAGCCGAAATAACGAAAATTCGACGATGAAGTTTAATGCGTGCAGCTGTGTGATACCTATATTTCCCTCTCCGAGTTTTTATTCCTCTATTCTCTATTCACTTTTTCTCTATCGATTACTCTCTCACTCCGTCCCCACTCTGAATTCTGTTGCCATGCTGCCATCACAGCTGATCACAAAGACTCGTTCGTGATGATAAATAATCAATTAATTAATGGATGTAGCCGTTACTACGTGGTAGGAAATAATAATGAAGAAAAGAGAAATTGAACTTTCTATGTTTTTTACCACTTTCATTTGTAACTAACGTTACTGCAGTTTCGTCATATAAGGCCTTTTGCAAACTTATACAATATATAAGTTTGAAAATGTCCTCATATACAACAAATGTCCTTATAGGACAAAACTGTAGTAACGTTAGTAAAAAATAAAAGTAGTAAAAAACATAAAAAGTTTCATTTCTCTTTTCTTCATCAATTAATCAACTGATTATAGCATTTTTTTTAAATAATTTTTTAATTCTACTTAAAAAACATACACTTATTTATTTGCATGCTATTTCCTGAGCTTTTCAATTATTTAAGTTCGATGAATAACTTTTTTCTTATATTGTTTTTGTCAGATTAAGCGAATCCCTCTAGATAATCGTCAGATTATGAGGCAGCACGTCTAACACATAAAGATGAACCATATATATCTTAATCTGACGCGCTTAAGTATTTTAAAATGGCGAATTTTTTTTGCACATTATAATAATGGTCGCGAGTTTGCGTCAGATCGAAATCGTCAGATTATTGAATGAGAGCTTGTTTTTGTTGCACTTAACACCCCCTTAGAAAATCTGACGCGCTCGATTAAATTTTTTTTTTCTTTTCACTTTTAACCCTTACGTACAACCACCCATATCATGCATACGATCCGATTAACATACCAACATTATTGAAAATACGTAGGACATTGATGCTATCAATATCTGACGCGATCGAGTATGTCCATGCAACAGAATTTTTTTCCATAATATTTAAACAACAACTCCTTGGGAGATGTACAATGGGTCACAATGGGCCTACACTCATCCTACCTACTGTACCAATACAGATACAGATAGGAGGGAACGAATTTTGGAAAAAATGTATGAAGATGAGGAAGTAGAAAGTTGAAACATTTCTTTCCCAATCTAATTTAGAACTTCTTGTTATGATTTCTATTTTTATTTCTTGATACAAAATAATTTCATTCAGGATTCCTTTCACAGTACTGTTTGCGATTATATTATTTGTGCAACTATGTGAGAATGAATACAATATATAAATATTTCTATGTTTCATAATTCATGAAAGAGTACATTTCAGAGGAAACTCCTTTTGCCACTACCATTGATGTTCTCTATTATCAATTTCATTTGCAATGTTCGTTCTGGCTGACAACAAAGTTATGTATTTAGTTCGATGAATATTTCAATGAATCAATTAATTTTTCAAACTTAAATATATTCATTATGAACCAAAGTTTTCTGTTATACAAAAAAGCATACCCTGGGTGAACGTTGTTTCAAACTCATTAAAAATGAAACGCTCTTCGTAAACTTGTAACTTTTTCAATAAATGATTAAAACTCTGGAGAAACACTAGAGAAAACACTAAAACACGGAGAAAAATAATAAAGAAAATTCCTCACTCAATTGATGAAAGAATGCAATTTATATCCTGATCTATATTAACTTTCAAATTCATATAATTTTTATATAGAGGGTATTTGTGACAGTACGTAATAAACGCAGCATTAATTGTATTCTCATTGAAGTAAGAGGTTAACTGAATTTTGATTTCGTTAAATATCTTTAGAAAATATAAAAATTGTTGATAAGCCGTTGAAGAAAATTAATTTTCGATAACTAGAATAAAATAATTTGAATGTATGATAAATAATTCATTCTTCAAAATATCCACCATGTATGGCTTGTCAGCATTTCGCTGGGACTTTTGCTTTGTGTAAAACTAAGATCAAAAAGGTTTTCTACAACAGTCAGGATATTCAAACAAGAGAAATGTAGAGCGAAATCGTTATAGACGTTTTAGAAACTGTAAAAAGACCTTATAGGCTCTTGAAGTTACACTACATGCAGTATATATTAAATAATGAGAAATCAATCAGTATACATTTTCTACTTTCCAGTCCTGTATTTCATCTCAAAATGTTTTATATGTATTCCAAATGATTACTGAATCCAACACTATCTCATTGTACTCTCAGTGTTATTGTGAATTATTCCTTCATGCGATAACAAGATTCATATAAAGGTTTATGACACTATTCACGAGATGGAGGACGAGTTTGACGGAGACCTCAAAAGCAAGTTTTACTTAGGATGTTTCAAAAGTTTTGTCCGTTTTTCTGACTACTCGAAACTGTAATATCTTCACGAATGCACATTCAATTTAATAGAAATGAGCGTCAATGGAATCAGTGCGCTTTTGCCAACGTAACTCAAGTAGATTGACTACGTCTAAATAAAAATTGTGAGCTCGAGAATCGATGAAATCGACGAAGGCCGTTTTTACCTGGTCCTGACTTTTTTGATGAAACACAAGCACTACAGAAAAACAAGAAGGCGCTCTGAGAGCGGTGCCTGTGCAGAAACACCGATTCACATTGGATTTGAATCGCTGAAGATTAAGATCCATATGGTAAAACGTTCTCAGGGTGTTTATTCAACATAAACGCAGTTCTCCAAATGAAAGGGTTCTTAAATATTGAAGTGCGAGGTGTACCGAGTTGAACCTCGAAATACTGAGCAGTCACAGTACGTCGCGTATTTCTGATATGTCTCGGTCTTGGCGAAATCAAATGTGCCAAATCACTTGAACACTTCCCGTAGAAGTATCTATGAAAGAGACAAATCTCTAACCTTACTCCGATGTTCTAAATTATCAAGGCTGCAAGTGATATTCGTGGCTCCAATCAGACGGATAGTTTTTTTCAGGATGGAATCCAGCAGCTTCAGGGTACGCTTGGGGGAGGAGCTCCAAATATGAGAGCAATACTTCAAAGAAGGTTCAATCTGAGCTTTATAAAGCAACGAAAGTTGTTGAGATGTGTACAGTTTTCTGGATAGGAACAGTGTTCCAAACTTTTGAGAAGCAGCTGTTGCAGAAGAAGCATTAGCAATTCCAGAGGCATGATTGTGCCAAGACATATTGGTTTCCATTTCAACTCCCAACAAACTTCTTGAAGATATTTGTCCTTCTGGCTGGAGAAAACTGATGCCTGGATTTTCGTGGCATTGAATTGAACATGGTTACCAATTGAAAATCACTTCTAGATCCTCATTAAAATATGTAACCTCATGTTGCCGGTGAAGATATGCATCCGTAGCCAATGTCCTGGAAACCAAGTGAAATGAAGAAACAAGTGTACTGTCGTCAGCAAAGCAATGAATTTGATTCTTGTTTTTTTCCAATAAGTCGTTAATATACAATGGAAAGAGGGTTGGAGACAATATGTATCCCTGATGAACACCAACGTTGATAGTAAAAGTATTCGAGAGATATCCATCGACGGACATTTGCAGGGAACGGTCTTTCAAGAATCTGAAAAGCCATATACAAAACCATATGGTTGGCTAAGGTTCTACCGGTAAGAAAAATAGTAAGATAGTGCTTGAATAGAGAGTAATCGGTTGGTGAGAGATCTAGGGATTATGGTGAAAGAGGCAGAACATTGACGCCCAATTTGTGAAACGTGCGAATGTGCATTGTAGTGGAGCTGGATCGGACCTCTTCTATTGGCCAGTGCCGGCTGCTGCTGTCGCAATTTTTGGTACACTCATTGGATTTCCTGACGATAGGACTCTGCTGTAATGATTTGGCTGACCTTTTGACCTTTCTAATAGATTTTAAACCATAAAAACCCACACGGAAGCTCATGACCAGTTCTTTCGACATCTCACGCACCGTTTGTAATGAGTCAGTCTCCACCAGGGTCCTCAATATCATCTCCTGGATGATAAGTTGACCATATCGTGCTTTATCTTCAAGACTGCAATCTCCGGAACTGAATTTCGCAAACCAACGACAAACAGTGCCTTCGTCAACACTATCATTGCCAAACGTCTGGTTAATTTTTAGGGGTATTTCGGTAGCGCTTTGGTTTATTTTGAATTCTTAGAGAAAAATTATCCAAAATCGCCCCGCGACATCATATAGTGATAAGCTGAAGAGGCAAACAATTCAAACTTGGAGAAAAATTAAAAGCCCCAATGTATAAGCATAGTAAAAATCAACCAGTACGTCGACTCCTCCTACTTTCATTCACAAATTCACAAAGTTCTCGGTGAACTCATTTAAAAACGAAATTGAAGATTATTATAGAATCTGTATCTGTAGAGTGAGGGTGAGTGTAGGCCCACAGCACTTAGGCCACATGTGACCTATTCTACATCCTCCCGAGAAGTTGTCCTCCTAGGTCATCGTCCATCCTATCCTTTCTTAAGGTGGACAGGTCACTAGGAGACATCTTCTTCATTTCGACAGGTGTTGGCCAAGACTCGCCGAACACACACTCTCTTATTGACGATAACTTCGGACACTCGCATAGGACATGCCTAACAGTTTCATCTTCCTGTTCACACATTCCGCATTCCCCATATTATGAAGGTGTTTCCTTAATTGACAGTGGCCAGTCAGAAATCCTACTGTTGAGCGTAGATTTTTCCTAGTCATCGCCAGATATTTCTTCGGCGCCAGCTTTCCAGGGTCACCCAGGGTGATCCTGGCAAGATTGCATCCTTTCATTTCATCCCATCTCTTTAGGGATTGAGAATAGATGTAACGTTCAGCTAGTTCCGCAATTGTCGAAGTCATCAGGTCGCAGGTGCCATTGGCTCCTAAAATTCTTAGTCCATTCGCTTCTTTGGCTAAAGAGTTGGCGATGCGATTACCTTTACTCCTGTCGTGCCCTTTAATCCACCTCAGGATGATGTTATTATCTACCGAGGCTTTGGCTAAATCTTGGTGGTACTCTAGTTCTAGCCCTGAGGTAACACGATATCTGTTTAAGGCTAATAGGGCTTGTCTGCCATCAGTGCAGATTGTTATGTTTTTGCCAGAAATTCCATTCCTGGTTACTCCTTTTGTGGCGATTCAGACACTTGTCAGTTCTGTTTGAACCACCCTGGTATTCCTCACTTGATCCTTAGGCTTAGTGATCTGGAATACACTCCACATCCTGAGCCTTCTGTGGTTTTTGAGCCATCTGTTTATATGAGTATCACATTTGTAGCATCTGACTCTGTGTTGTTTTATTTGTATTTTGTAGGGTTAATAAAACACAAACCTGTGCTCAATTGCATCACTGGTTGCCTGTAGCAGAGGTTGCGCAGTGAGCGCTTCTCGCCATAGGCTCTGCTTCAATCGACCCATTCCTACTTCGAGGTTTACACCAGGCGTGCGTGATTGTACCATGGCCGTTAACACAACCTCAGACCAGTAATTAATTTCATTGCCGCGGTTGGTGTTGTTCTCATGGCACTTGTGAAGTTTAAACAAGCCAATCGTTGTATTTGATATAATTTTTGGATGGCCGTTGCTTGTAGAACATTCGGTCCCTATGCAATGGCTCCGTACGTTAACATAGGTCCTATTATTGCAGTGTAGATCCAGGTGACCACACGCGCATGGGGTGAAATACCCCATGCGCGACCCAATGTCCTCCAACATTGCTCATAAGCCACATATGCTCTTTTTGAGTAAGACTACCATGTTAGCTTCCTGTCGAGGATAGTACCAAGAAATTTCACTTCTTCAAAGAAGTTTAGTTTGCTTTTGAAGATTTCTGGAGGTTTTAAGCCCGATGAACTTTTTTCCTGGTGAAAAGGACCATATCAGTCTTCTTTGGATTGATTGCCAGTGAGTGTTCCTTACACCATGTTTCTATTAGTTTGAGTCCATCCTGCGCTCTATCGCACAGTGTTCACAAATTTGCCGGTCTACATGATAACTATGTCACCTGCATATGCAATTGTGTAGAATCCATTATTGTTGAGGTGATTATAATCAGATCATCTAGAACTATGTTCCAAAGAAGGGGTGATAAGACCCCTCACTGTGGACATCCCCTCATGACCAGTCCTCTGTGATGTCTTCTACATTGATAGATATTGCTCTACTAGAGAGCATCTTTTGAATCCATTCTCCTACTATCAGAGGTACATTCCATGAGTGTAGTTGCTGGGTCACTGTTGAAAAGGTTGTTTTATCAAACGCTTCCTCGATATCTATACCCAGGGCGGATTCTTTGTTGTCCAATGATCTTTCGATTCTGCCAACCACATAGCGAAGAGCTGAATCACTAGACCTTCCCTATTATTATAGAATATTTTGTGGTAAATTACTCAAACCCAATTACAAAAACTATAAATAATAATAACAACTGCGAATAAACTAAACAGAATATCAATTTTCGACCGTTTATTATAACTAATCCGATAACAGTGGTCCGGAAAATAACATGATTTCGAAAAAAATGAAAACACGAAACACCTTGAACTATTAAAAAGAAACTGTGTAGAAATAAAAATATTTTTTAGAATAGTTTCGGAATTGTGAATGGAATACCATTCGCTCCAACAATAGAACCAGTACACGAAGATGCTTTTATATCGAATAAAAGTCACCAACTACTAGAAGAAAAACAATACTTAAATGTTCCATACATCATCGGATTCAATACTGAAGAAATTTCGATACTGAAACCAGGTAAGTTCATGATTTGATGATAATGAAATGAAAAAACTATCCATTCCAGCATTAACTATGGCTCTTCCATTCTTACGAATATTCGATATCGATCCAAGGATAATTGCTCCGAGTGGCACTAATAAAGGAAATATAGAAGAGGTCGGAAATGAAATAAAAAGATTCTATTTTGGTAACAATCAGTTCATCTCTGATCAGTATTTAGAGGTGAGAACCAAATTCGAGATCACTTTGAAACATCAGTAGATTAGAAAGTGGATTGGTGCTATTCCATGGTAAACTTTGAAACTTTCATCATTCCTGAAACATTCGTAAAAAATTTAACTTCAGAATTCAGAAATATTTTTACATTATTTGAAACATATCGAAAAGTTGGCTTTCTCCCTCATGGTCACAATTTGTCAGAGTTAGGACCTTTTGTTTTTCATGATCCACCTCATCTGGAATTTTTCAATCGGGGAACTGACCTTTCTTTATAGTTTTCTTCTGTATACACCAGTATCAAGAATTGCTAATACTTTAGCACTTATTTTCCATTTTCAATACCAAATTTCCAATCAAATGTACAGATTGGGCCAAATTGGATACTTTTAAAGGAAAACAGCTGTTCTCAAACTAGATAGGTGAAAGCTGATGACTGTGTTAAATTTTATGACAAACTTGATGGTGAAAACCGCATATCGATATACAGGTTGTAACTAAATGAGTGTGAAACATTCAAGGAGGTGATTCCTCATCGACAAAAAGATAGGATCTTTCATATAAAGAAATTTCATTGGAGCATCCCTTGTTAAGATACAGCCCCTTAAACTGGGTACATGAAATTTGTATAACATTTTTTTTCACAAGCACTGAAGAAGTTACAATATTGAAATTAACCTGACGTTTTTTACTACCAAAAAGACACACAGCCAGTAATTTATTTGGAAAACGCAACCCCTAAAATTTATTTCCAATGTAATTTTTGTCTTATTATTTGTTTACCATTCATTTCCTATAGCCTGTTTCATTCTAAACAAAAAATGTCTCTTGGGTTTTTTGCCCAAAAAAACCAGTTCGCAGCAAAACATTATTTTAGGAACAACTACAGAGATACATCGTCATGAATGCGAAAATACGAAACTAATCTATCTAGTAGGTATTCCTTTGGGCGTCAGAAGGGATATGTTTTTTATGCATGATGGGGCTTCCGCTCATTTTAGTCAACTAGCACGTCAGCATTTAACTGAAACATATGCAAATCAGTGGATAGGTCGAGGAGGACCACAGAACTGGCCCGCCCGATCCCCGGATCTCAATCCTGTCGATTTCTCTATTTGGGGCCATTCACAGCATTTGGTTTATCGTACTCCTGTTCGCGATGTAGAGGACTCAAGAAACCGCATCATGGATGCGTGCAGGGTAATCAGAGAGACTCCAGGAATATTTGAGCGAATACGTGGCTCAATGCGCCGACGTCTAGACGCATGCGTAATGTCTGCAGGTAGACATATTGAACATTCACTATGATTTCTACATTTGTGTGTTTTGTTATTAATAAATTAGTTTTGTTTATTACCCTTTACTCGTTTAATGCAGGTACTAAGTACAAAATAACAATAAATCCAGTTCGCATTTATGACGATATATCTCTGTAGTTGTTCGTAAAATAATTTTTTGCTGCGAACTGGTTTATTTTGGGCAAAAAACCCAAGAGACATTTTTTGTTCAGAATAAAACAGGCTCTCATAAATAAATTTTTAAATGGTAAACAAATAATAAAACAAAAAGTTACATTGGAAATAAATTTCAGGGGTTGCGTACCCCCTTTACGGAGCTGTATGTTAACAAGGAATGCTCCAATGCAGTTTCTTTATATGAAAGATCCTATATTTTTTTCTATGAGGAATCACCTCCTTAAATGTTTTACATTAATTAAGTTACACCCTGTATATCATCGTTTCAGAGTTACAGCATGTAACTTTTTTCCTGTCATAAATTTCTTGTTTCTATGAAAAAACTCATAAAGCACATTCTACGTAGAATTCAATGGTGTAAAAAAAATTAATTTTTCAAATGAGATATCAAGAGTGGAAAACTATTTTTCAATGAGACACCTTGTATATTCCTTCATATTTCAATAGAGCTTGAAATTACATTTTCAAAAATGTAGCACATTTGATGTTTTGCTACAGTCGTCTTCGAAATACAGAGTTTTTAAGCTTTTTCATGTAGACTTTGAAACGCACACTTTTGACCACTCGGCCAAGTAGGCTTTGAATGAGACGGCGAAGCAAGTCTTCCCTGGTAGCTGTCAATTTTTGATTTGAGCAGTGAAGACGCTCTTCAATTAGTGCAGTTTTTTGAATGTTGAAACACATTTGCAATGAAGTATGAGAATTATGAAAAATGGGATGTGATAGTCTGTTTTATAAAAATCGGCAAAAATGCAGAAGCAGCAAGCAATTTGTATCACGAGAGGTTTCCAGAGAGAAGACAACCTTTTAGAGGTATTTTCGCGACCCAACCTGATTGATGGTGGTCAATTTGAAAAGAAAAGGCCAAAATTATATGAAACAAATAGGGATAAGAAGTTGGAAGAAATTGTCGTTTTAGGAGCTGTTGAAAATAATTCAAAATGTCAACGCGAAATTTTACAATATCAACAGACCTTCCGAGAATTATAGTTAGGAGACTTTTGGAAAAACAACAAAATCCTCATTCTATTGTGGAGCAGGGAAGTCAAGAAAGATTTGGATTTAGTGTTTGAGCAGGTGTTTTCAGGGGTAGAATTCATTTACAATGACACTCACATCTCAGACGTATTTAGAAATTCTAAGACAAAATATTGAACCCCTTGTTGATTAATCGCCACTAATGGAGCTCAGAAAAATATATTTTCAACAAAACTGGGCTCCGCCTCAGAACACTGCCATTGTCACTAACTTTTTGACTGCAAATTTTGATAATTACTGGATAGCCAACCAAGGACCCGACCATTGGCCTGCCAGGTCACTGGAACTAACGCCTATGGACTTTTACCGCTGAGGAAGGTTGAAAAATCTTATTTTCGAATTGCCGACCAATAGTTCAGCAAAAACGTCCAGAAAAGGTGTCGCCTGTGTGTAGAAGTTGGTAGATATTTCTAACAGATTCTCTGAAGGAATGAATATATTTTATTGTTTGTCCCTTATTATAATTATCATCATGATTATCATTCATTAGTAGTGAATATATTATAAATTGTTATCAGTTATATTTTAAATTGTTTCAATTACTGCTGTGAAAACATTTGAACTACTTAAAAATTTCTTCATGTCGATCAAAGTGTGCGTTTCAAAGTCTACATGAAAAAACCTGAAAGCTCTGTTTTTCAAAGATGACTCTGACAAAACATCAAGTTTACTACTTTTAAAGCTCTATTCAAGTATGCAGAAATATACAGGGTGTCTCATTGAAAAATTGTTTTTCATCAATAAATATTGATATCTCATTCGAAAAAATAAGTTTTTCACACCATTCAATGGGGAATGTTCCTCCTGACGAAAATTAAGTAGTTCTCATAAAAGAGCTCTAAAACAACGAACGCATTTTAAACTTATCATTTCAACCTTTTTCTTAAAAAAAATATTTAAATACTTAAGAGGAATGAAATAATGCATTCAACATTTAAAGGGAATCGTTTCTATTGAACCATTTGGCAACATCATTTATATCTAATAAAGGGCAATGAATCTGTCACCTGTATGAGACAAACAAAGATGACATATTTCAGAGGCATGCTGTTTTGTTTACTTATGTTCCGAGTTCCGAGACATTCTGTGACATATGACATTTTGTGCACCTAACTTATCTTCCTCTATATAAATAAATAACAAAACAACTGTTGTTTTTGTGGCTTGTGGAGGTGATATTGAACTATAATTAATATTTTGCCTCAATAGTTGATTTATGAAGATAATGTTTCCTTTTGAAAGTAGAATATCTAGGTACGTATATATCTACGTACGTATATAGGCGCTGTTGTCAATATGTGAATTGGAAACAAATCCCTCTGAAAATTAAAACCCAACATTTGAAACATCAATTTGAATACTTTTCGAAGTGAATTTGAACTCAACTTCATTTTGTTCAAACTTGCATTTGCTGTAATAACCCAAATTGAGGAACATTTCCCATTCTACGTTATAAAGTGCTTTGAAAATGAATGTTGAAAATGTTGAAATTTTCGACAGGAAAAAAAACTACAGCAACTTTTCGAGCATGCCCATTTTTGAAAAACATGATGTTACCAAGAAACAATAATACATATCGATATGCTGTTTTCACCAGTAAGTTCGTCATAAAATACGACCTTCAGACACTACAGTTTCCCTTTAAAATTGTTCAATTTGATACACTCTGTACAAATGAAAGATATAGTTACTTTTAATTTTAAAACCAAATATACGTGAACACAAATTCATTATTTTCCGAATTTTTAGTTGTATTTTTTATCGTTTCGTTTTCGAAATTGAATGAACTTTTTGGGTATTTCAATTTTTAATTCTTCTGAACCATGAAGGATACTACAGCAAACAAAATGTTCCACGGTTACCCCAACAAAATCACATGAAATGGAAATCCGAATTCTAAGAATTTTCTTGAATTGTGCTGATTTCAATATTCTCAAAATACTACCCCAACCAACGGATTTGATTGCAAATAATGTTGTTTATTCAAGTTCCCGAATGTTACTGATTGTTAGTATTTCGTAAGTGATGCATTTTTATACTAATGTATTATTATGAATCAACTTTCTTATATTATCTAATGTTGAAATAACTGCTTTCGAAAGCCCAACAAGTTCTATCAGTCCTGATTACATTTATGAAAAAATCTTGATTGGTAATGATTCAGTTCATCTCGAGTAGATTTTTGCGCCAAATGAATTCGTTTGAACTCTCCGAATGCCGCTCTGAGAAGATTTCGAGCCCTGCAGCTATTTGATATTTCATACCTATTCAATGACGTTTATTTCCATCTCGTATGTCTCTCTTTCCATATTTTACGCCTATTCAGTGGCCCGTGAGGATTGATTTTTTTCAAGGACAAAACACAAGCATTACAGGAGAATCATTAAGGCAATCTAAGATCGGTGCCTGTGCGAAAGTAGCGAATAACATTGGATTTAAATCGCTGAGATTAGATCCATATGAAAAAACGTTCAAGTTTATTCCACATTGTATAAATTATTGAGTAAACCTGAGAGGCTATTGAATACCCTGATATCGCATTCCAAAACTTTTACATGCGTCTAATTTCGATTGAAAAGTCCTCACAAAGAAGTAGTTCCATCTCGTATGAAAAAATTTATTTCATCGTTTACCAGATCACAATATAAAATCGGTCTATTGTTTCAGTACATAAATGATGCCTACTTTTTCCGTCCCATAATGGAAAGTGCTCGATTATTCAATCAGAGGACTCCTACTTATTTGTACGTTTTCACATATGAAGGTTCGAGAGGAAGAAATGCTCTGGGATATAGAAAAGTTGGTGATTATAAAGGTTCGATATTCATTATTCACACATAATCAGCACTCAATAGGAAATTTTGTTCCGAAATATTCAATTTTTTTCAAAATATTTCATCTGATCAATTGAGTGTGCCTTTGGAGCCAAGTTCAAGTTAAGATCGATGACAAGCCTCTTCTGAAAATAAGAAACGTATTAGTGACATCCAATGGGGAATGTTCCTCAATTTGGGTTATTACAGCAAATGCAAGTTTCAACAAAATAAAGTTACGTTTCATTCGTGAATTTTTCAAATTTACTTCGAAAAGTATTCAAATTGATGTTTCAAATGTTGGGTTTTAATTTTTAAAGGGATTTGTTTCTAATTCACATATTGGCAACAGCGCCTATATCAAGTTGAAATAATTTATACGTACCTAGATATTCTACTTTAAAAAAGGTAAATAATCTTTATAAATCAACAATTAAGGCAAAATATAAATTATAGTTCAATACTACTTCCACAAGCCACATAAACAACAGTTGTTTTGTTATTTATTTATATAGAGGAAGATAGGTTAGGTTCACAAAAGTCATATGTCACAGAATGTCTCGGAACTCTGAACATAAGTAAACAGAACAGCACACCTCTGAAATATGTCATCTTTAATGAATCGAAGAGGTTTTGTATTAAAGTGTATAATATTTTAAAATTCTTGCAAAGCGCTTTCGACTTTCGTCATCATCAGTGCTCACCTGAAAGTAAGTGATCTAGTTGAAAAGGGAATTTAGTGATAATTGAAGTTGTAAATTTTTTTTTAAGGTTAAGAAATTTGGAAAAATTGTTTGAGATTACTTACTTGTCAGGCAACAGGAATTATCAAAATAAGTGAATTGTACATTTGTAATATTTGAATTATATAAAACAAAATAGGCTTATAGCCAAGATAATACATTTTTGGATTGAGGCCATGTGGTTCGGCCAAAGTATCATATGAAGAAGGACAACTTGAGACAGAATGTGTCAAGTGTCATGTTAAAATAATGGTACCAACTTGAGGAGTGATCCATTATGGATTTGATTGAATATGTAGAGGAAAAATATTGAATAAATTATATTAATAAACTGTGTTTAATCAATAATTCATAATCCTCCTATGAAGGGGAAGGAAATCTCTGTTTAAGTTTACTTGAGTATTCAAACAATGATCATTGTTGGAAAGTTCTTTAGAAATCTCCAACTCTTCAAACAAGTCAAGTCTAAATAAATTTTTATTATCTATTTTACATAATATTTTGGAATTTCTATTGGGACTAAAGTTGTGATTGTGAAATTTTATGTGGTGGCCAAAAGCAGATTTGTCAGGTTTTTTTATATGTTCATTAATACGAGTGAAAAGAGGTCTACAGGTTCTACCAATGTAAGATGACAAGTAAGTAATCTCAAACAATTTTTCCAAATTTCTTAACCTTAAAAAAAATTTTACAACTTCAATTATCACTAAATTCCCTTTTCAACTAGATCACTTACTTCCAGGTGAGCACTGATGATGACGAAAGTCGAAAGCGCTTCGCAAGAATTTTAAAATATTATACACTTTAATACAAAACCTCTTCGATTCATTAATTCAAATAAGTGTATTCAGCTTTTCCTAATCTTTTTATGTCATCTTTGTTTGTCTCATAGAGGTAACAGATTCATTGTCATTTTTTAGCTATAACCGATGTTGCCAAATGGTGAAACAGAAACGAATCCCTTTAAATGTTGAATGCATTATTTCATTCATCCTTTTAAAGTAATTAAATATTTTTTTAAAGAAAAACGTTGAATTGATGAGTTTAAAATGAGTTGTTCCAGAGCTCTTTTATGAAATCTACTTGATTTTCGTCAGGAGGAACATTCCCCATTACATGTGACACATCAATGACCCTTTGTAATCCAAAGAGTTCTTATATTGACGTAAAAATATAATTCAATCGATTACCAAAGGTGAGGTTATGATTACCTCAATTATGCGGAATACATATTCTGTTAAAATCTGCTTTTACGTTAACCAACTATTACCCCTTACCAAAGATAACCATCAGGAGTCGAAACAAGTGCAAACTAAGAATTGACAAGGTCTTACTTTTTACCGCAGTGAGAATATTTCTTTCGCCTGTCGGGCTCGAACTATCGTTCCACAAAGCGAACTACTTACACCATCCACCGGATACCATTCCTCCAAAATGCAGTATATAATACAACTGGATGGGTATCCGGTTGATCAAATGATAAGTGTTTCTTTTCCGGTTTGCGTATTTGGAAGAGTTTCGATATTTAATATTTCATTCCATTTTTATATTCAGTGAGATCGTAACTCAAAGTGAGACCATTGCGAGTCAGTTTTTGCAAGGACAAAACACGAGGCGCTCTCAGAGCGGTTCCTGTGCGAGAGTAGCGATTCACATTGAATTTGAATCGTAAATCGATATGGAAAAACGTTCTCAGGAAGTTTATTATATGTGAACGCAGTTCTTAAGATTGAAGCGTTCTTAAACAGTGAAGTTCGAAGTATACTGAGTTGAACCTCAAAACGATAAGCAACCACAGTCCTGTCGCGTATTTCTGATATGTACCGCTCTTGGTGGAATCAAATATGCCAAGTCACTTGAACGCCTCCCGTGAAAGTATCTATAGAAGAAAGACAAATCTCCAACCTTTCCTTGATGTTCCAGACTATCAAGGTTGCATATGATGTTCCCGTCTCCAATCAGGCAGTATGTTTGGGGGCAGAGCTTCATACATGAGAACAATACTCCAAAAAAGGCTGATCTGAGCTATAAAGCATCAAAAGTTGCTGAAGTGTGTACAGTTTTCGGGTTCGGAACAGTGTTCCAAGCTTTGAAGAAGCAGCCTTTGCAATTTCAGCGATATGATTGTGCCAAGACATATTATATCCGATTCGGAGACATTTATCTTCTTGGAGAAAACCGATGCCTGGGTTTTGTGGCACTGAATTGAACCTGGTCACTTTCACCCCAATTCGAAATCACTTCTAGGTCCTCATTGAGATATGCAACCTCCTGCTGACGGTGAAGATGTGCTTCCGTAGCCGATGTGCTGGAATCCAAATGTAATGATGGTTTTTCCAATAAGTCTTTGATATACAATGAAAAGAGGGTTGCAGACATAGATATATATTTATAGATAAATATATTTATTCGTGTATACAATAAAAACATGTCTACATTTATCATTAAACAAAACAAGGCAGCGGTATGATGTTAAATTTTTTAAAAAAGGGCTTACAATGAGCGTCATACTCACTAGAAGAAATTATTCTAATGACTTTTTTTTGTGCTATGAATAATGTGCTAATAATAATAATGAATAATGGACCCCTGGGAAACACCAGCGTTGATAGTGAAAGTATTCGGGAGATATCCATCAACGGTCACTTGCAGAAAACGTTTTTCAAGGAAGCTGGAGACACAGACAAAGGCTTTAAAAATATCAAGCGCGACAGCTCATAACCCTGGGCTACACTGCAGGATGCTAAATGGTCGCTTGGAGGGTGGATGGTAAAGGTGGATGGTAGAGGGGCAATGCATCCTGGACGCAGTGAAATGAAGCCAGTATCTAACTGACACCGGAAAAGTAACATCATGCCTCCCTTTAATAAATGAACAAAATCATTGAAACTGAACATTAGAACATAAACGTTAAAGAAAAGAGTTACATATTTGAAAAAAAGGATCTTGCTGTTGAGTTGTAGATGTTCCACCATACGAATCTAATGATTGTTGTTCTTTCGAAAAGCATGAAACATCAGTAGAATTTGACAATGATGAGTACTAGGTACGACAATCATACTCGTGGCCAAATTGAGGGGTTTTCACAGACAAATTTCTTTTTTCATATTCATTCAAGATAAGGTCTTCAATTTTCCCACGGACTCAGACTATGGCCTGAGCTTAATTCCCGCACATATGGAAGTAAACTATGGAAGAAACACATATCCGGATCATCTTCGGAGCTGATTTCTTTTTCCAGAAGTGCTCATTTTTCCTTAATGGGTCTGCTGGGTCCCAAATTGCCCTTCTTTTGTACAAAGAACTCATCACGCTTTCCTCCATAGCTAGGCTATTCGGCTGGAATATCAAACACGACTGATTAGGTTGAATAGACGCCTGGCATACCTTCGGATGGTTTCTGGAGGTTAGATAGAAGTGGGGGACCACTGCGGCTACCGTCGTTCTGTTACTCACGTTTATAAATAGCAGAATGTTCGCCACGCAGCATCTACCATCCACCATCGCACCAACCTTCCTGCAGTTTAATTCTCCATGTTCCTCAATTGCGATATTCCAAATATAGGTGACATTCGACAGAAGGTCGCCTGATGTTCTTTGTTACCGAAAGCCATATTGATGATCGCTCAAGATGTTGAAGCTTTCCAAATATTTGATGACATGGTGGTAACAGCATACCTACCAGAATTTTATATCTGTCACTATTTCATTTTAATTCAGCTTCATGAAATGATAGTTTGAGAGAAAGCTCAGGGGAAACTTCTCATTTTTGGGAAAGAAAGTTTTTCCATCTCGATACAAAAAAATGAGGGAATCTTCCTAAGAAAGGAAGGAAGTAATCAATTTGGAAATGAGTAATTCTATACATGGATGTGTAGATCATGCAAAGAAGTAACTTTTCAGACACAAACTGAAAGAAAGTCCTTCTGAAACAGCTACTTTCATAAAAACATTGAATTACACGAAAGAAAAAATTCTTTCGAAACAAATACTTCTATATGAACACTGAATTATACAGAAAATACTTGTCTTTACTCAGTTTGTATTTCAAACATTCGTTGTACATATACATCGAAACATCGCTGTATACCAGTGAGGGTGACAGTGTTCCATGTAAGTGCAATTAATACCATTCATTTAAAGTAGAACTCATGTGAATGATATCTGATCTTATTCCACAACGAATGTTTGAAACACAAACTGAGTAAAGAAAAGTATCTTCTGTATAATTCAGTGTTCATATAGAAGTATTTGTTTCGAAAGAATTATTGAGATGGAGTAGTAGAAAGCCAAAAACTGTCTTTCCCAAAAATTAATCACTCCTAATAATATAACCCCTTCAATTCAAACTTCTCATGTTTTGCCAACTACACCAAGAAGTGTAAGAGTACGTAAAAATGATGGCATCATAAATAATGGGGCAATACATACGCCTAACATAATTGATCACCTCCAAAGGTACTATAACATTCTGAAGAATTTTGTGTATCGACGGGTGAATAAAACATACAAACACTGGAGTTCCAAATAGTTTTCTTAGTTTACGTATTATATTGAGCTGTTTCAAAAGTTTTGTCTGTTTTTATAAGTCTACTTTAAACTGTAATGTCTCAGAGATACTCATTCAATTTATTCGAAATTAGCGTCATATTAATCAGTGCACTCTTGCCAATGTAACAAAAGTCGATTGATTCTGTCAGCATGAAAATTGGGTGCTCGGGTTTCGATGGAGTCGACGAAGGCCGTTTTTTTTGTCTGGTTTTGATTGGCGAAGGTTCTACCGGCGAGAAAGTTATCAAAGTGCCTGAGCAGGATCGGATCTGCGAAATTTCGTTTCGTAGGTCCGATCCTGCTCCATGAAAACACCCGTCTGTGCGTTCATTAACACTACAGTTGCCGAATTCCTGCTTGGAATTCGGCTGTTTCGGCAGCGCTTTAATTGATTTCGAATTCGTAGAGAAAAATTGACCGAAATTCGCTTATCGACATTATACAGGGTCCTGCAACAGTGGCGCGGTGTTCCATATCTCTATATAGATTTTGAAGGCTCCAGCAATTAGACTTGCTGGATACTTTGTTATAATTTGTAGGAATTTTTTAGAAATATTTCCCAATAGAGGATACAAAACCCATCAATAAAGAACACATCTGTAGAATGTGGCCGTTCTTGGACAATATTTGATTCTAGACATTTTACAATTATGCAAGTTCTGCATATTCCGCCATCTGAATGCGAAATTGTATATTTTCTGGCACATTGAAAATCTTCTGCCACGATGTTAATCACACGATAGTGATTTGCCATTATTATTTTTCAATAATATCAACATTATATTCAAATATATTTAATTTCGTCAATTTTCGATACATAGCCTACCTGAGCTCCAGTCAGTACCACCGCGCTGGGCATAGCGAGTTCCTACTTTATGTAGGGTAGGTATAAGAGACTCGCTGCACAAAAAACTAGGCCTGATCACCGTATAGAAGTAAACAGAAGTAAGTTCACTCTCCGCCATATTTGGGTCAAGATTCTCCACCTCCAATTTTATGCGCGGCTGACTGAATCTGAGGCATGGAATATAATTGCAGAGTGAGTCGTTGTAAGTAGTGCTTTTGTATTACGGAAAAATTTGTGTCTAGTTTCAAAATGAACAAGTGTCGAACTGTGGGTTGCTGTAATTTGCAGGGTGATGTCGGCATTAATTGTTTTCGATTTCCAACTGACGAAAAAAGGTAGGTTTTTCTAGTATGTATTATGTACGACTGAAGAAATGAACTCCCAAACTTACTGATTCTCATTTATTTCCAACCAATTTTCAAAGAATAAAGGTTAAATTAGCCAGTCAAGTTTTCAGTCTTTCGGTAGCTACAGCGATGAATACGCATGCCAGTTTCAATCAGATAGGTATTATGAGCAGTGATAGGAACGGGTATGTTCATTGAAAAAAATGGATAAAGTGGATAAAGCGAAACACATGTCGCGATTTTTCTGAAACCCTCTATAGATAAATCATGCAATGAATTATATTTATTAGTTTTGATATGGATTTTCATCAAGTATAACCGCCAATATTTTTATTTTGTCGAGCTCGAGCATTAAGGTAATATTATAGAAAATTAGATTCCTATCTGCTTCCTATATAGAGATATGGAACACCGCGCCACTGTTGCAGGACCCTGTATAGTATTTAACAGAGACAGAATTTAAATTTGAAAAAAAAATGCAGCATCAATTCTCTATCGATCAGTATCAATTACGACAGTATAATAAATATTTATTGATATATGGAGCAACAAAAACACATGACATTAAAACGGACAAAACTTTTAAAACAACGTACTAATTCCAAAGATATATTTACCTCGCAATTCTACCGATATGTAGAGTTTTACAATGATAATCTAATGTTTCCTTTTTATTTTGAAATACTTATATCGATTTTTTATATCAATTCAAACTTATATCGAACCATTTACCTTTATTTTTTATTTCATCACTTGAATGTCACAGGGACGCTACATGCAGAAGAGATGGCCTATATTTGGACAAGAAATGATTTACCAGAACCAAATAACAGAGACAAATTGATGTCGACACGCATGGTCAAGTTGTGGACCAACTTTGCGAAAACGGGGTTAGTATTTTTTAGTGGTCTGAACATCATAATCTACAGGGTGTTTCATAACTGTAGTACGAAACTTCAGAGGGTGATTTTAAAAAAAAAAATTCCTATGAATATTTGTCTGGAAATTCTTCGTTTCTAAGATACAGGACGTTGAAGTTTGAAGAAAAACCTCTATTTGGTTGAAAATTGCTACAGTTATCTGAAGTGATAAGGCGCTTATGTAGTTCCAACTAGATTGAAATTATCAGGTCTAGTTATATCTCGGTGAGCATCAACAGCCAACAATTTTGGGAAAAAATGTACGCCATTGACTTGTTGTATTTTATATTTTTTGAGATTGAGCTACTAAAAATACAACTTTTTCGTCGCTTGGGTTCTCTTCATATCAAGCTTCGTTTTCGAAAAAAAAAAAACACTCCTAAAAATTATCCATGGACAACATAACATAAAAACCAAAAGTAAATAATAATAATAATAAGAGCAAATTATTTTCCACTATGAAAAGCAGAAATATATTTCGTTACGTGGTGATGTTAGATGATGCCTGGGAATGCTGGGTCTTCTAATTGAAACCACAAATGTGCGGTTAGCTCATGTTGGTGACACCGTGCATATGTGATGTTTTTTCATTTTTGGTAACCAGTTGTTGTACATCTTTGCAATTGGCTGCACCGCGCTGATGAGGCCAATAGCCAGAAATTTAGATCAAAGAGTGATATAATTACAATAGAATATAACAATAAAAGTGAATTGAGTATGGGATTATAGGTCATAGAATTTTTGGGCTGACTTCTAGTTGCAGCACCATCTTCATGGTATCATTTGAATGATCTTCTTTCATCGCATCAAGTGAAGCTTCTTCTCGTTCAGGCGTTGTTACAGTGTCTAGTCTTTTAACACCTGCATTTTTATTAAAACTCTCAGTTCCACATATTCTTGCATATAGCGGTCTAAATGTTTCAGCACATGGGATATTTTTGTTAAGATATCCTGGTTAATTCTGCGTGATATGAAAACACTATCACTGTCAGATGGTCTACAAAGCACATGTTCATGATATGCAAAGTGGCTTCAATTTTTTTTCTCGAAAACAAAACTAGGTATGAAGGAAACACAAACGACGAAAAAGTTATATTTTCAATCGATCAATCTATAAACATAAAAAACTACAAGTCAGTGGCGTACTTTTTTTTCCAATATTGTACGCTGTGGAACCCACCGAGACTCCACTGGACCTAATAATTTCAATCTAGTTAGGGATAAATGAACGCTCTATTACTTCAAATAACTGTAGTAAATTTCAACCAAATCGGTGTAAAAATATTTATGGTATTTTATAGCTACTGTTATTTTTGTTAAACTTCAACGCTCTGTATCTCAGAGACGTAGCAGCTCCGAAAATATGTTCATGAGAACTTTTTTTCTTAAAACGACCCTCTGAAATTTCGTACCATATTTAGGAAACACCCTGTATATTATAATTGAGTTGCCAACGAATCAATATAAATACGATTGTTCATTGTACCCTCAGGCAGATATTAACCACGTGAAGTCCACTACACTCATGAAACGTTTTGAATAATATGAATAACTTTTGGGAATCAAAGGTTTCTTTTGGCTTTCTACTTCTCCATTTTCATACAAAAAAATGTGGGAGTCTTCCGAAGAAAGAAAGATTCAGTCTGAGATGGTTTTTAAAAATCATTTTATTTCAGGAATCCAACACCAAACCAAGAGAGTATCACTGAAAATATTATTTGGCCAACAGTTTCAGACAGCATGACTTACTTGGATATTGGCAGAACTTTCAGCGTGAAACAAAATTTCAAAAATGACTCTATGGCTTTCTGGAATTATATTTATAACAATTATGGTACTCCACCATACGATACGTATTGAAGACAAGAATCAACAATATAAATGAATTTGCATTTCATGAAGCGTCATATTTTCAAAGATGAATACTCTGAAATAAATGTACTATAACATCATTGGAATTATTTAGAACATAGTCATAGATCAAGGGTATTCTAGTTTCGAATGAATGATGGAAATCTGGGTCTTCAGATGTTGTCCATCTCTGGTCAAATTCAAGAACCTATTAGACACATAAAGAATACCATGCCATGTTTTGGAAAGTTGAAAATCATTTACGTAAATTCTCCCTAGAAAATAGATATCATTCATTCTACATTCATCCTATATCATATACACAAATATTGGAAATGCTGTCGTGGTAGAAAAAAAATTGTATTGGAAAAAATTTGTACGCTATACCATTCATTCTTTCTTTTTTGGGAATAAAGCGCCAACCCTCGAATCCATTAGGACAAAGGTAATGGATAATGATCTCAATCCAAAAATGAGCAAAGATAAGTTAGGAAAAATAATAAAACTTAAAATTCATATATGCCAAACGATCCCGTAAATCTGTCTTAATAGAAAGAGAAGATATAGTCTCATGGCACCGGGGATATCTTCGCTCTATTAGAGAAAGGCGTTTTGCTCACAAAAATATTTATTATCTGGACGAAACGTGGGTGGTTGCACACACACCGATTTTGAACGGTCGACTTTGTACTGGTCGTCCAAATTCCAATAGTGAACCACATGTGGGAACGGGACCTTGCACACATGCATACCGGTGATCGTCGTCGGTAAAATACCGGTGAGCAGTCGTCCACTGCCACTGTATCGCCGGCAGTACCGGGAAGTAGTGGCGTACATGACTAAATACGCTCTTTCATATTCACCGGTTTTTTACCGACCAATCCAGTCTCGAATGCTCGGTGAAATTGTAGTTACTACGCATTAACTTCGTTTTGGTAGTGCGTGTCAATTACGACAACAAAGCAACTGATTGTTTGACCGATAAAAATCTGGTGGGTGTGCAAGCACCCGCTACCAATAAAATATCGGCCGATTTTATACTGGCCGTCCAACTAGCGTTACGCTAGTTGCACACACACCGATTTTGGACGGCCGACTTTGTACTGGTCGTCCAAATTCCAATAGTGAACCACAAGTGGTAACGGGACCTGGCACACACGCCGACTGGTGGTCGTCGGCGGTAAAATACCGGTGAGCAGCCGTCCAAAGCTACTGTATCGCCGGCAGTACCGGGAAGTAGTGGCGTACATGACTAAATACACTCTTGCATACTCACCGGTTTTTAACCGACCATTCCAGTCTCGAATGCTCGGTGAAATTGTAGTTACTACGCACTAACTCCGTTTTGGTAGTGCGTGCTAATTACGACAACAAAGCAACTGATTTTTTGACCGATAAAAATTCGGTGAGTGTGCAAGCACCCGCTACCAATAAAATATCGGCCGATTTTATACTGGCCGTCCAAAATCGGTGTATGTGCAACTAGCGTTACGCGGACCAACAGGTGAAGGGCAACGACTAATTGTCGCCCATAAAGGTAGCGAGAGTGGCTTTTTAGGCGATAGTGCACTAATTTATTAAAAAAAAAACGGGGGATTATCACGAAGACATGGACGCCCAACGCTTCAAAAGGTGACATAATTTCACTGAATGTCAATTGACAAAAATACTAAATCAATATTGAAAATGAATGGTTACTGAATAAAGAAACCAGAGTGTCAATGTTCTGAAATTTCCTACTCTTTCCATTCAAAAATTGAAAAAAAAGTAATACAAATCATAAAATTATGAAACAACAAAAATTAATTGGAGCTCCAGGGTGACCTCATTGATTCCAGTGGTGCATTTGCTTTTTCAGCTGCAAGAAAACCAGGAAAAGTCTGCAGCACCTCATCATCTGAAGATCTTCATCTGCCAATGTTTCCACTTTCATAAAACAAAATGTAGGCTGTCTCCAGAGGCTCTAATAAATTCAAGATGTCGCCAGAACACTTAGTGATACGACTAACGTCAAAATTGAACCAGTCCGTTTCGTCTTTGACCAAGGCGTATTATTGACCAGAATCAACGCCAGAACCACAGTGAACAATGACTGCATGAAAATTATAAAAGTGGTCTGCTGAATTGAAGTGCTTTGCACGGACTGGTTACCAGTCATATTAGGAAACGCTAGTCGAAGTTCCAGAAAATCACATACGTTTTTGCTTCCTCTTGAACATTTACTACAAAGTAAACAAGTGAAGAATTTTTCAGCAAAAATGATCTACAAACACAAGACGATAGACTGTACGGAATCATTCAATCCAGAGCGGTCAGGAGTATTGATTTTGCAATTTTTCTGCTCACGAAGAGTATTCAAGAAGAACCCCAAGAATTGAGAGCAATCCTCTTGTTGTCCTAACGAGTATCTAGTGGACTTCAAAGACTCCAGGAACTCAGTTGGTGAGAAAGATGATACATTCTTCCGAAACTACAACTACATGAACAATTGTTTGAGTTTGGTGAATAAGAAGGAAGTATTCTTGTTCTCGTTCATTGTTAAAACCTCGTTCTTGAAATTCTTCGTCATGTACAACACTTGTAAAATGCTATTCATGTAACAAGTGTTTTCTAAATTATCTAATACAATTTTCTTCTCAAGATTTTCAGGACAACTGTCTACTGTTTCGTAAGGAAGAACATATTTCACAGAATCTGCATCAGAACCATTTCTCAAACTGCCTTCGATCCTTCTGAGTGATGAAGAATTTCGTAGAGGGATCGATTTGGCTCTTGCTTTATGAAGCTCTTCCACTGAAAGGTAACCAGAACCACGAGGACTGCAGCTGGGTGCAAGACTGACTTAAGTCCATTGACCGCACTGAAAAAAGAATCAATCACCTGCGAATTAACCTCGATAGGAGACTCATGAATATATACATATCTGAGCTTGTTTCGAAGAGATTTTAGTTCCGTACTGAAATGAGGGCTATGCATGATCTCGTCAAAATTATGCGAAGGAGGAATAGTTCCAAATACCGAAGCAGCATTACCAAGTTGAATAGCAATACTAATTCTTAAAGTATGACTGAGTACAGGGTCTTGTTCTAGGGTTTGATGCGTTTGACCTTACACCATCTGATCGAAATCCTATTTCCAGAAACCATCAAGGAAACTCAAGGCTGTTGTTTCCCCCTCCTCCTACTATACTCCTCTGATTCTTGAGATCCGGGATTCCGGCAGTCTCCAGCAGTAGCCATTTCATACCTATATTTTACAGTTTTTACAGTGTAGCCAGGCATGATCCGGACCAGATATATAATCATCTTTTGAATTAATATGTGCAAATACCTCAAAAGATTGAATTTATTCTTATGGATGATTCTCATGAATTTCACTCGAATCGCCAGTATGTGTTCTCTATACGAAGCCATGCACAAAAAAAATCATATCAACCTTCATACATAGAATCGGTATCGATTCAAAGTTCAGACATATACACAAAACCCACCTATTCTAAATAAGACATGACTAAAAGTAGGTTCATCTCTCTGATTACCTCACTTCTCACCCTACCTTACACTACACTATGAAAATAAACTATTAATTGACGCCTATTTGTATACATAACCAACCGAACATGATAATGATTTATATGGAGTACTAGTGTTGACTGCTCAGAAGATTCCCAGATCTGTGAAAATATAAAATAGGAATTAGAATAATTGGTATGTTACAATTTACAATTTGAAATATGCAGAAAGGTTTTTTTGTGTTCAGATTGTCTCGCAAACAGCATAAAATGAAAAGTGGAGAAATTAAAAGTTACATGCTAGTAGACTTTAATAATGACAAATAGGGTAGAGAGTTTCATAGAAGTTTGTGCTTGATGACTGGCCTTTATGATGGTGAAATTATCTATTTTCGATTAATTTGTATGTCCACCTTGTTAATATTCCACGTTTCATTGATGAATATTGTTTTTTATGTGATTCTGCTGCTTGTTTGAATATATTCTACTTTTGAAGATGAAAAACTCATTTCTAGCATCTTATTGCGACTTTATACAAGAATTGAGTGTTTCAATTCTGAGATTATCCAAGAATATTCTAATGACGGTTTGAATACAAACATTTTAAACAGAAACTTCTAGAGGCCTACATGAGGACGAACGTTTTCCATGTGAATGAAATTTTATTAAAACTATTTCATATATTTAGTTGTGTAGGGTTTCTATTTCAATTCCACAACGAATGTTCAAACTGAATAGGAGAAGTGATTTCCGTGTAATTCAATGGTCATATTTTTAAAAATAGTTGATTTCTCATCCACGTTGTATCTGAAAGAAACATCTGAGCGTGATCTATATATATATTTGTAAATATTTTATATTGATGTTAATTATTTTCTTCTTTTCTTCGGACAGGGACTTACATTTTTGTGAGTTCCTTCTTTTGTATGAACTAGTCCCTCTTAAAAAATATTTACATTTCAATTTAAGCATCCATTTCATTCAACCATCACAATTTTGATCAAGAACATTTGCAGCGACACACTTTTCTTGTTTTCTGTTCGTGACTTTTTGTTCTCTTATCTTTATTTTTGGTTATTGGAATTTGACAACTCCGATCACTATGATCACTTTCTTTGGATACAGATACCCCAGTTGTCTCAATATGAAATATTGAGCTCATCAATGACCAATATTTGAAATTAAGTGTTTATCTAGTTACTTAGTTTGCCCGAGTTTAAAAAAAAAATCATCGTTTATTTTTATTTTTCTTGGATTTCTATTATGCGGTTATGACACGTTCTGAAAAAGTTGAGATACGTTTAATTTATTTCTTATCTTACTCGAAAAATCGAAAGCACTTGAGCCGGTCCTGCTCTGAAGTGCAAGGCAAAGCTTATAGTACGGGAGCTAGCAACAATAATTTTAGAATAGTCGGGTTTTTGATATGCTGTCTTTCTCGCTCTTTTGGTTAGAGTCCGGGCTACCTGGCTGGCGGTAGTGGTTGCGTTTATTAATGTCCATCTTACATGCACAGGTGAAAATCCTTAACTTTAAAANAACTGTCACGGAAAATTTCCCGCGAAATGTTGACGTTACACCTCAATTGTTTAGTGAAATACATTGCATTAGAATGAAGCCAATTGTGTTGAAAATGTTGTTGACACATCCGCATAGTGTGATTGTCATTTTCAACTTCAAACAGATGTAATTTGCCCAATTCACAAGTATTAACCTATGTATTTCGTGTTCCGGCACCAGACTGAAATAATATGAGGACATAATAGTGTAGCTACTCATGATATACGTCAGTAATTTTTTTTGGATTTGTATTTCCTTCATTTTTGTTTCTTGAAAACACTTTTCCAAAAAAATGCTATTGTCATGGTGGAATCTGGTATATATTTTTCAAGAAAGAGGTATGTATATACCTCAGATCTCGATGAGGATCTGAACACGTATGTATGTTAGTCGCCTTGATAACCATTGAAGGTTCGAATTCCACTACAAACTTCCTTTTTTAGAAACTTCACGAGCTAATCTTTCCCACAAGGCAAGCAGTGAGTTTACGTGGTTTCAAAAGTTTTGTCGTTTGAATGTCATGTGTTTTTGTAGCTAGAAGATTGAGTGTCAAAATATTCTCTGCTGAATGTATCACATCGTATTCATGATTGAACTCATGTCCTTCTACTAAAATGTGGTTTGGTAATGTGGAATTGTTCTTTCTATTTACAAAACTACATCTACGCTCTTTAATTCTTTGTAAAAATGTTCTCCCTGTTTGGCCAATATACAGTCTTGGGCAAGAGCCACAAGTCAGCCCATATACTCCTGATCTATCTGACACCAAAGTTTTGTCTTCATTGTTTTTCATAAATTTACTTAGATCATTATTCGTTCTGTAAGCTACGTTCACGCATTCTTTCTTCAAAAACTTCCACCTGTTAGACCAACCATTGTTGGTGAATTTTGTCCGTCCATATTATTCAATTAATTCAAACCAATTCTTCATTTAATTTTTTTTCTCATCTGATAATTTATTTTCTTGCAACTTTTTTCAAATGATCCTATTCGTAACTAATCATTCATTATTATTCTGCTATTTTTGTGATAATATAATAATTTCAAGTATGATTAATAAATAATATACCAGGTCGAAACAGCACTTACGTTGTTTATCTTAAATTAATTAAAAAATATTTTCCAGCAGTAGTTTTGGCATTGACATTCACTTTATGTCTCATAAACATCTACATCGTTTCACAAGTTTGCCAATTTTTTCTCAAATAATGATACTGAGGTTATATCTCTGAACCAACAAGTGGTTTTAATGAAAACAATAACAAATTGAACGTTCCCAAAAATAAACTTCGCACTGTATAAATAAGAGAACCTTTCGGCCATGCAATTTAAACTATGTTTATTCGATTTGGCCCGCTAGAAAATTGCTCTGGTAAATGGGAGAGATGCCCTAAAAAGTCATTCTTGCAGAAAAATTCTCATATTAAAGTTCACCGTTTCACCGAGCGTTTTCCAGAAAATGTTATCCATAAAGTAAATAGAACGATTCATTTCAGATGTTTCTTGAACGAGATACAGAAAGAGATTTCATATACATGGTTGAAATAATATTTTGGAAAAAACGAAAGCGAAAAAAAATTAAGAAAGATATATTCAATCACTACATAATCAATATTGTGTGTGTATATTTTTTTAACATTTCTTATAACTTGATACGACTTAACAATTCAAACTTCTTACTATGAGATGAATATCTGGAAAACGATGAATGATGAGGTGTAGTTTTTGAAATTACTATGGATCTTCATCAAGTAACGGCCGGATCAATCAGAAATTTTTCACCAAATTTCTTAGAATTTTTTTTTTGAAAAAGATATAAATGAAAAAAAAACTTGATTATTTGAATTTTTCACATAAATTTTGAGGTT